TAATAAACATGACTTTTCCATTTAATTTCACATAGTCTTGCTTTCCCAACAGTCATTCTCACCCCGACTGGGCTGGACTGCAATTATCAGCCCCAGCGGGTCTCGAACCAAGACACTGTAGCGCCACATCGCCAAGACTGCTTTTGGGTGACAGGACAGGTGTGAATTTCAAGAAAGTTCAGGAATTGTGTGATAAGATTCTCGATAAAGCAAAGTTTTATTTGCCATAGCAATCGACTATGTTACATATTTTTCGTTGATAAGTAGGCTTTCAGGACTACCAGTAGATCGTATAACAAGAGGTGTATCCATCCTATTTCATTTGGGTTGATGAGAGGACTGTAAGTCGAATTTGCCCACAATGATATGAGAAGACATGACGTTTCCATTGCATTTCACATAGCAAACGGTGTTCTCATCAAAGCGCTAACTCGATTAACGGAGTCGGCACAGATCCTTTGATCAGGATGGTACGATTCTGTGTCCTACTAAAGTGAGCCACACCGGTCGAGTGGATAGCTAGTCGTTTTTTGTTCCGAATCACGAACAGTCATGTGCAGCGGACGGTCGTCTTGGTACTTCGGACAAATGGGTCTTGTGTGAAAACTGGGAGAATGTTCCATTGGAGTTAACGGGCCGTGATTGTCGTGCCGGAGGAGAGCAGCGATTGGCTACAACCTGGCCAGCAGAATTATTCCCAGACTCGCGGTTACGCCGGTTCACACTCGAGTTGGAAAGTCGAGAAATGTGAGTATTCATACCCTCCGAGAGGGTGGTCTAAACGCGGGGTCTACATTTGTATGAGCTAATCGGCTTGATTCTTGCTGACGCCGGCATGGCAACGAAGCCCTCGCAGTTGGAGACTGCTGCCGATACCTCGCTTGTCGTCATGTTGCGTCGTTGCCAGGCCGATAGTACTTGCTGCTGCCTCCATGCCGGACGGACAGACGAGACCGACGGCTGTCGGACGGTGACACAAGACTGTGGGGAGAAGAGCGATTCCGGCTGCCCACCTGACTGGGAAGCCGATCGGTGATTGGTGGAATCCTGTCCCAGGGAGCCGGCCCGACCCGTCAGAACACAGAACAGGACGACCAGACGAACTGACCTTAGGACCAGCTATCGAGGAAAAGGGAAGAGTAAATTGAGAGGAAGGAGGGGCGAGAGGGGGGCAGGAAACACATGTCACTGGGACTGAGGCCAAGGAGCTGCTGCGAGTCGCGATGGCATCCCTTTGTTTACAATCTCGCCAAATAATTACATGAATCATACTTGGTAGTTCGATGTGACTTAAACAAAAGTAGTGGCGGTTTTGTCACAATTATACCAGATTTAATTGATTAACTAATTAACAAGTACGTAGTCAATCAACTAAATTAGATTAATGATTAATCTTAGTATAAATATTCCTGCCATTAATAATAGTTAATTATTATTATTATTGTTAGTGAATAACTACTTGTAGATATTCTAATATCTTAATGACCTTTTATACTTATGGAAAAATATAATAATTTATTATGTACTAACAACAAGAATAACAATAGGATTGCATTATTATTGATAATAATAATAGCAAGAAAGTAAGTATTTACAATGTTAAAACTTATTTACTCCATTTATTACTTGTGAGTTTGATCAATCATTATTAATATTTATAGAATAATAAAGTCATTTTCGATAATCTATATATAATATATTACTAATAATGTATTTAATTCATTATAAAAGTTTATAATCCCCTGATGTTTGAGGACTATTGAAACTACTGGTAACTAGCATTGGTTTGCAAACTCTTACACACACATTAATCTACATATGTGTACACACATTGGAGTAAAAAGTAGACTAACCAAAGCGTTCTACCTCTCTGAGCATTAATTAATTGTGAAATATGAATTTTGATCATTCGAGGTCACTAGGGAGATGTAAGTGGGTAAAATAAAAGTCCTTCAATGAGAGGGATGAAAAAGACAATTTATTAAATTGATGAGATGTATCCGCCCCAGTTCGTTGAAGGGGATAAAGTAATGATAGTTGATTGTTTCCACGAGCAAATGAGTAGGCTCCACGTTTCCATATCTTTGCTGTTAAAGAGCTATTTTACTCCAGTCTGGGCTGGACTGCAGTTTCGACTTGGCCCGAACTGGCCTCATCCGCACCATCAGCTGAACTTGAAACCGGGTCTCGACATCTTAACCACTCCAGCACGTATTGCCACGAGTGTCCTCAGATCAGAGGGAAGATGTGAATTTAAAAGCCAAAATCACACTCTTTGGTGG